GGGCCCGCGTGTCAGCACCCAGCTCCGCAGGGGCCTCGCGGGGAGCGAGGAGGTGGTCGGAAGCCGGAGCACGCAGGGTGGGCGGGATGCAGACGCCAGGCCAGAGGCAGAGCGCAGAGGGGAGATCAGAAATTGGGGGCGTGGGGAGGCTGGAGGGCCAGCCGGTCTGGAGAGGTGACCTGGGCTGTCCAGGGCGCCTGCCCTGCTAGCAGGCGGAGACCCACATGGGCGCTGGGAGGATGCAGGAGCCGGTGTGCAAAGCCTCTTCCCCCGTCCTCAGCTGAGGAACGAGGAGCGGGAACAGGACGGATGTGCAGTGCTGTCCGTTCACCGGCAGGTAGAAAGCACTGCTGGTCAGTGACTGGGCATGTCTACTGGATTCCGCATTTTTCAAATACAGTGGACGTTGACTTAAATCCCAAGTTCCCTCCATTTGGATGTAGAGGTAAACTCATCTCATTGGAAATGGAAATGCTGACTACACGGGGGTGGGGGGGTGGGTGGCGTGGGGCTGGGCGTATCTCTGCCTTTGCGTCGTCCTGCAGGTCGGACCTCCGCAGAAGACGGACCTGATCTGCTCAGCCACGTGCAGAGGCGGGACGAGTTCTAGCGAGGGAATGGTTTTGATCACTAACGAGAACGCTTGTGAAGAGGTCTTCTGAGGGTTCTTCAGCAGTGTCAGAACACTAGGCCATTTTGCTGCTAGATGTGAAGAAAATGAACCTTTGAAATGTTAGAAATAAAAGATTTGGTTTAAAATTAGATCAGGGGGTTGAGGAAACATAGCAACCATCAAACTCCTGTTTTCTTTTTGTTTTGTTTTTTTTTTTTGCGGTACGCGGGCCTCTCACTGTCGTGGCCTCTCCCGTTGCGGAGCACAGGCTCCGGACGCGCAGGCTCAGTAGCCATGGCTCACGGGCCCAGCCGCTCCGCGGCATGTGGGATCTTCCCAGACCGGGGCACGAAGCCGTGTCCCCTGCATCGGCAGGCAGACTCCCAACCACTGTGCCACCAGGGAAGCCCCTGCCTGCTTCTTTATGGAAATGTCAGCATCCCAAATGCTGTTCTCTATACTTGGACAGGGTATGTGGTGGGTTCATTTCTCCCTCCACTTTACCGGGTATTTTTTGACACTTGTGTAGAGAAGAATTAGTTATCCTGTTAATTACAAGCGTATCGAAAACTTTTTTCCTGCTCAGAGCTCAACTTGGGGAGTTTTCGAAGTACCCAAAGGGTCTCCTTATAGAGATGTCTCACCTATAGGCTGATTTCCAGGACAGATGTACTCAAACCCTTGAGTTTAACTTATTTCAATTTTAATTTATTTCACCACTAAATCCAAAGTCTGTTACTCTTGCAAATTATATAACCTTTATGTTTTGGAGTCTGTTTTAAGTGCAAGAGATAAGTCAAAAATATATTTGAGATTTTTGTATAGGTTTGGTTTATGTAAAAGTTGCATTTCTGGAGTTTTATTTACATGACAAGGATGTTTTAATAGGGATAAATTGTATCGATTGACTTTTGGTAAAATCTGTTTGTTACTGGCTTCCTTGACCATGAGAAGTTGGCTTCCAATTTTTGTTACTTGAGCATGTTGGGAAAATTCATCGTATGACACGTTTCTTTTGTTACATCCAGCGCTGCGCAGGGTAGTAAAATGACATGGCGATCTGACGCTCAGCGAGCTGGTGTCTCCTGGTCCCGGTCCGGCCCCTTCCTGCCCTGCAGCTTGTTCAGCTCTCAGGCCGGCTCCTGCCCCTGGGAGGGAGGGTGAGCTCAACCTCGGCTGGCTGGCGGCGGGGTTCTCTAGCTAGAGGTGTTCTTTCTGTCCCACGTGTGGAGCTCCCGTCACCTCTGAGGAAGGCGAGTGTACCAGCTGTGCTGAGGGCCTCTCGGCTGGGGGAAGGTTGCCCACGCCAGCAAACCTAGTGCTGGTGTCTTTTCCGTCCCTCGTTGGTGTGGCAGAGCAGGACGACCGCAGATGGGAGGGGCCGGCGGCTGCTCTCCAGGGTCGCCTGTGTCCCGTGCCTTCACTCGGGTGGGGTCTTTGTGTCCTCCTCTGCCGGACCCCTTGCTCCTTTGGGAAGCGGCAGCTGTGGGAAGGAGGCTTGGGTCAGGCTCTCCGGCTGCCGGTGCCTTCGTGGCCGGGCAGGAGAGGGCCCCGGAGGCACAAGGCCGCGCCCTGGGGCCAGCGGGGTCGGTGTGGCCGAGCCCTCGCCCCTCTGCTGTGGAGCACATCGGCCCCTTGAGCTCGCGTCGGCCACAACTTCCACTCATTAGCTTGTTCCGCCTCACTTAGGTTACTTTCACATTTTGGTGACAATGTCTCACGGTTTGAATTTATTTGCTTCACGGAGACTGGTGATGCTTAGTGCACGGGAGACAACGGCCGTTGTGTTTGCACTGTCCGGCCAGCGAACGTCTGGCTGACGGCGTGTAGGGTGTGCCGTCGCCCTCCTGACGAGGGCCGGGGAGCACACGTCAGCAGCTGCTGATGACCACCTCGCCTGGTTTCTGTTTCCAGATCTTACAGTCCCTCGCAGCTCCGACAAAGACCTTAGAGCAGCAGGTGAACCACAGCCAGCAGGGCCATGCGAACGCAGCGCTGCTCAGCCAGGCGAAAGTGACCCTGGAGCCACATCTGTCGCCGCCGGCCCCGCCGCCCGTCCTGCACCTGCCACCCCAGCAGGCCCTGCAGCTCCAGCAGCAGCCTTACCCGCCGCCGCCGCATCCGTTTCGGCCGCCACCGCAGGCCCACCAGCCTCAGTTACCCCCGCAGCAGCAGGCGCTGCAACACCAGCTTGCACACTTGCAACAGCTCCAGCGCCTGCACCAGCAGCAGCAGCAGATGCAAATGCAGACGCCCCAGGCCCTGCCGTGCCAGCCGCAGCGCCAGCTGTTCGGACACGACCCAGCAGTGGAGAGTTAGTAATGTGGCTTCTTCCTTCTTTTTCTCCCAAAAGTCCTGTACTTACTTGGAGAGCGTTTGCAGGTAGGGTAAGGATTCATGCCAAAATAACTCTTAGAAAACGGGGAACGGGGGTCTCGTTACCTAACAAAGGATATAGTTAGGAGGACGGAACAGTTAGATTTCTTTGGTACTTTGGGACGCCATACCCTGAAGTGAACACTGGCGTCCATAGAACATCAGGCTGCCGCAGGGACCAGCTCGGGGTGCTCAGTGCCCAGGCAGGAACCGTTGGTTTCGTGTTCTCAGTCACTTAACGTGGACGGGCGAGCAGCTATGTTTGCAGCAGTGTGCCAGAGGTCCTCACCGTACTGGTGGATACGTGATGGTCAGGCGTGACTCGCTTCACGCATTCATATTGAACTCTGCAAAATGAGCTTATGTTTTGTGCACACATTCATGGGTTTCGGACTTTAATTTGTATGATTCTATTCTAGTTCCAGAAGAAGGCTTCTTACTGGGATGTGTGTTTGCAGTTGCGGATTATCCAGAGCAGATGTCTGACAAACAGCTGCTGGCCACATGGAAAAGGGTAAGGTTACTGAGATGCAGGTACATGTACATATACGTATACACATACATATAGTATCTGAAGGTGTTAAGGGCATTTTTATTAACACCCCCCCGGGACCTTGGGCAGATCCGCTCTCTGGGCTTCAGTTTTCCTAACTGTAAGGGGAAAAGGTTGGACTTTATCATTCTTAGGATTATTTTCAGTCCTAAAATTCTGAGTGGCACACGGATGACTTGTATATAACCGGGGGTGTGGGAAGATCGGATTTTGGTGCCCTCGGGTCGGGACCCTGGACTTACATGTAGCTGTGTCATCTTTGTTCTCCAAAGGCGAGTGGTTGGAAGGCACCGCAGAGTCTTCTAGCCCAGGTGTGGAACTGAGTCTGTTGATTGATTTATTAGTTTGCACAGTGGCCTTTAAAGAAAACGAAAAGTAAACACTTCCTCTTGCAGTGCCACAAATAAAAATTGAGCCCAATTTTCTTTAAAAACATGAGTTTGTGTGCTTCAGATGCATCTTCAGTGGGCTTCCCTGCAAGCATTGCTGGTGTTTAAGCCCCTGCCATGTGCCAGGCACACTGTCAGACCTAGGGAACACTGGTGACTGAACAGGAGCGAGGAAACCGTGAGACGGGTGGAGGAACAGCTGCACGCTCAGGTGACGGTGAACAGCACGTTGGGTGCTGGAGAGCCTGGAGAAAGGCGCTAGCCGGGGCGGGTGCTTGTTAAGCAGAGGACCCCGTCTGTGAGGCCGAGGCCAAGTAAGAGTCCAGGGGAGGGAGGAGTCCCGGTGGAGAGAGTGGCATTGGCAGGGCCGCGGGGCCGCGGAAGGGGTGCGGCAGCGGGAGAGCACGCTCCTAGGGCCGGGGTTAGGGTCGGGGTCCAGGAGGCACGGAGGGCCAGAGACCAAGGCCAGGCCGTCCCTTCCAAGACCCGACTTACCTGGCGCGTTGTAGGAACCGGAGTTTGCTCCCCATCGTCTTGAGAGTGTGTGGAGCCTGGGCAGGTGCGTGTGTGGCCGTGAGATGTTGGGCACGGAAGGCCGGGGAGGTGGCTGGGCTGGGGCTTAGTTGGGAAGCGCTGAGTACCCGAAGGAGGGCAGTCGCCAGGGGCGGGTAGGAGATGCCTGTCTGAGAGTTACAGCGGCATACGTTATTATTATTTTTTTTTAATTATGGAAGTGTAGGGGGTAATGATATTTAGAAAGTATCCTGAAAAAAAAAGTAGAACAAAATTCAGAGATACGAAGAGGTTTGCTTTCGGTTTTGGGGGGTTTTGTTTTTGTTTGTCAGTTAAAGGGTTAGTCCAAGAGGTCCAAAATTAAATCCTAGAAGTTTGGGAACAGAGGAAATGAAGGCAAGATAGTTGAAAGAAGGTCGCTCATAACTGAAGGGCGTTTCTGCAGGTTGAAAGGAGAGAAGAGGGCGCTGTTCGGGCCGCCATGAAGGTGCAGCGTGTGAGGGATGCCCGGGCTCAGGGCTTGAGGATGCGTACCAGCGGGACCTGGGCGGGCGTCTGGCTCTCAGAGGCAGCCTGTGATTCCCAGCCTAGGAAGCCATATCCAGTCCGTCAGTCAAATGGGACTGTGGGATGAAGATATTTTCAGACTCCCCCAGTCAAACTGTGCCTGCCGTGTGCCATTCTTACAACCGTGCCGTGCCACACAAGAGGAGAGTGTGGCCAAGGGTGGGGCTTGACCCAGAGGTGGAAAGGGATTCCGAGGGTGAGGGTGCAGGGCAGTCCACACAGGCGTGAGGGCTGGTGGAGAGGGACCAGCCAGCACCGGAGTGGGGGGCGGCGTCCGGGAGGGACGGCACGGGGTGGAGGAGACAGGTCGCTGGAGGGGCTCGACCGGGTTAAGCGGAGGTGACACTGCGTTTGTCTTCTGCTGCTGTGTGACGACTCCCCTGAGACTCAGTGGCTTGAAACAACAGACGCTTACTACCCCCTGGTTCCTGTGTGGGCTGGAAGTCCTGAGGCGGCTCAGCGGGTGGCTAGAGCCCTGGCCTCCAGGAGGCTGCATCTGAGGGCTCTACTGGGCTGCAGGAACCGCTTAGAACGCTGCCCCCATGGCTCTTGGGGGGCCCCACCCCCGCCCCAGGCCTCTCCAGGGAGCGCGTCCACTCAGCGTGGCGCCGGCTCCCCCGTGGCTTTGCTGAGGCCGCGTGCCATCGCCCGGCGCGCGCTGTTGGTCTGGCCCACGCTCCAGGCCGAGTCCAGCCCTGGCCCCTGGAGGGACGAGACTCAGGTGACACGCTTTTGAGCCACAGCACGTTGCACTTCTTTGAAGAGTCTGGGAAAGAAGTAGTGATGGGTACATGGAAAGCTAAGAAAACGGTGAGAAGGAGGGGAATGAGGCACTTGTTAACAACCAGGGAAAGCAAAAGCTGGTAGCAGAAAGGAGCTTCGTCCTGGTGTGCCCTGATAGACCAGGCGGTGAGCCATACTCTGTTAAATCCCGAAGGCTGATTGAAATAGGGACTGTGATAGAACCAAATTAGGAAGGTGCGTGTGTGCGTGTGTGTGTGTGTGTGTGTGTGTGTTTTAGTTTCTGGGGGGAAGGTGGCCTCCCCAGTAGGAGGTTGGTAGATAACATCTAAAGCTAAAAAACAAAGAAATTGCATAGAATGTGTTAGTTAGAATATATTAATAATTACCAGAAGAAAGAGTTAAATAGCTGGATATGGCAGCCTTCGGGGACTGGAAAGCGAATGGGAGAGCAAACTGCTGGTTTTGTCCTGGGCCCTATTAAACTATGTTTATGCATCACTTTAATCAACATAAAAATCGAATTTTAGTAGTAAATGGAGAGGAGTGGGTCAGGATGGCAGAGAAGAGCGACGTGGAGCTCCACTCCCTTCCGCAAGTGCGTCAGAAATACGTGCACATGTGGAAACGGCTCTCACACAATATCTACTGAACGCTGGCAGAAGACCTCGGACTTCTGAAGGGGCAAGAAAATCTCCACGTAACCAGGTAGGACAAGAGAAAAAAGAAAAAAAAGAGAGAAAGGAATCAGGATGGGACCTGTGCCCCTGGGACGGAGCTGTGAAAGAGGAAAGGTTCCTGCACCCTGGGAGGCCCCTCCCTGTCAGGGAGATCAGCCGGGACAGAAAGGGAGCTTCCGAACATACAAAGAACTTACACCAATCCTTCTCAGACTCTTTCAAGACTGAAGAGGAGGGAACACTGCTGAAGACCTTCTGTGAAGCCACCATCACCCTGATACCAAAGCCAGACAAAGATGCTACCAAAAAAGAAAATTACAGGCCAGTATCTTTGATGAACATAGATGGATGCAGGAAAGCAAACCTAATCCAACAAAACATAAAAAAGATGATAACACCACGACCAAGTGGGATTCAGCCGACGTTCATGAGGATGGGTCAGCAGACACAGATCAATCGGTGTGATACAGCACATCAACAAAAGAAAAGACAAAAACTACATGATCATCTCAGTAGATGCAGAAAAAGCATTTGACAAAATTCAACATCCATTCATGATAAAAACTCTTACCAACATGGGTATAGAGGGACCAAAATATAATAAAAGCTATTTATGACAAACCCACAGCCAATACAGTACTCAACAGTGAAAAGCTGAAAGCCCTCCTGCTAAAATCTGGAACAAGACAAAGATGCCCACTTCACCTCTTCTATTCAACATAGTTTTGGAAGTCCTAACCACAGCAATCAGACAAGAAATAAAAAGGTATCCGAATTGATCGGGAAGAGGTAAAATTGTCATTATATTCATATAACATGATACATACAGAAACCCCTAAAGACTACACACAAAAATGAATTCAGCAAGGTAGAAGGAGGATACAACATACAGAAGTCGGTTACATTTCTTTATACTAATAATGAAATATCAAAATGGGAATGTAAAAAAAAAAATTCCTTTTAAAATCGTACTCCCCAAAATAAAATACTTAGGAATAAACCTGGCCAAGGAGGTGAAAGACTTCCAGGCTGAGAACTATAAAACATTAATAAAGGAAATTGAAGATGACTGAAAGAAATGGAAAGCTATCCCATGCTCTTGGATGGGAAGAACTAATATTGTTAAAATGGCCGTACTAACCCAAAGCAATCTACAGGTTTAATGCCACCCCTATCAAATTACCCATGACATTTTCCACAAGTAGAACAGATAATCCTAAAATTTATATGGAACCATAAAAGACCCAGAATTGCCAAAGCAATCCTGAAGAAAAGGAACAAAGCAGGAGCCATGACCCTCCCAGACTTTGGACAATACTACAAAGCTACAGTAATCAAAACAGTGCGTGGTACTGGCACAAAAACAGACGTGTGGATCAGTGGATCAATGGGCACAATAGAGTGCCCAGAAATAAACCCACACACCTACAGTCAGTTAATCTTCAACAAAGGAGGCAAGAATATACAATGGAGAAGAGACAGGCTCTTCAGCAAGTGGTGTTGGGAAAGCTGGACAGCTGCATGTAAATCAGTGAAGTTAGAACACACCCTCACACCTACACAAAAATAAACTCAAAATGGCTTAAAGACTTAAACGTGTGTAAGACATGACACCATAAAACTCCTAGAAGAGAACACAGGGAAAGCATTCTCTGACTTAAGTCATACCAATGTTTTCTTAGGTTGGTCTCCCAAGGCAGTAGAAATAAAAGCAAAAATAAACAAATGGGACCTGATCAAACTTACAAGCTTTTGCACAGCAAAGGAGACCATAAACAAAATGAAAAGGCAACCTACTGACTGGGAGAAAATCTTTGCAAATGATGCAACCACCAAGGGCTTAATTTCCAAAATACACAAGCAGCCTCATACAACTCAACCACAAAAAAAACAACCCAATCGAAAAATGGGTAGAGGACCTAAAATAGACATTTCTCTAAAGTAGACATAGAGATGGCCAATAGGCACACGAAAAGATGCTCGATATCACGAATTATTAGAGAAATACAAATCAAAACTACCATGAGGTACCACCTCACACAGGTCAGAATGGCCATTATTAAAAATAACAAATACAAATAACACATGCTGGAGAGGGTGTGGAGTAAAGGGAACCCTCCTACACTGTTGGTGGGAATGTAAGTTGGTGCAGCCACTATGGAGAACAGCATGGAGATTCCTCAAAAAGCTAAAACTAGAACTAATGTCTGATCCAGCAGTCCCACTGCTAGGCATAAACCTAGATAAAACTATAATTCAAAAAGACACACGCACCCCTGTGTTCATAGCAGCACTATTCACAATAGCCAAGACGTGGAAGCAACCTAAATGTCCGTCGACCGATGAATGGATAAGGAAGACGTGGCACATGTCTACAACGGAACATTACTCAGCCGTAAGAAGGAATGAAATAATGCCATTTGCAGCAGCATGGATGGACCTAGAGATGATCATAGCGAGTGAAGTAAGCCAGATAGAGAAAGACAGATACCATATGATGTCACTTAGATGTGGAATCTAAAATGCTACACAAACGAATCTATCTACAAAACAGAAGCAGACTCATGAACACAGAGAACAGACTTGTGGTCGCCCAGAAGCAGCGGGTTGCGGGGGCGGATGGAGTGGGAGGGAGTGTGAGGTCAGCAGGTGTAAGCGAAAGCGCAGAGAACAGACAGGCGGCAGGGTCCTGCTGTAGCGCACAGGGAGCTGTGTTCAACGTCCTGTGATGAACCGTAACGGAAAAGAATATTTTAAGGATTTGTATATGTGTATGTGCAACTGAATCACTGTGCTGTGCACCTGAAACTAACACCACATTGTAAATCAACTAGACTCCAGTTTAAAAAACTTTTTTTTAATAAAAAATTTTAAAAAGTTGTAAATGAAATGGAATTGTTTCGTGGGGCAGGTCTTTTTAACGTATAAAGTTCTCGCTCTTTCGGTATACAGCGTTTTAAGTTTTGACCAGTTCCCCTTAGTGCCACACAACTACGTAACCACTGCCGTCGAGGTACGGGACGGTCCCCTCACCCCAAAAAACTGAATCTGTTTTTAAAAATAATTTTCTGGTGTTCACAGACTTCATTTTGACCTCCCCCCCCCCGCCCCGCCCACCGCTTTTAGAATAAAGTTTCTTAAAAGCAGTGATTCTAGCCCCGGGGGACGATCGGCAATGTCTGAAACATTTTTCACTGTCGCAGCTGGGGGAGTGTTATTGACGTCTCACGGAGAGAGGTCAGGGGTGCCGCCGGCCCCCTGAGATGCTCAGGATGACCCCCCCGCAGCTCAGTCAGCTGGTGTAAAACGTCCGTAGTGCCCAGTTGAGAAACCCTGTTTTAGAAAGAGCGTTCCACTTTTCCTTTGGAAATTCAGGTGGAATGGTGTTAAAGTTCATTTTTATTGTACAGTGCAGGGTGGAAAAGTCTGTAGATACAACTGATAACATATCTTTGATACTTTTGGGGAACTAGACGATGAAAATGTATAATGGATTCTTTTAATAGCCGTCTTATTTGAAATTACAATTCCCTCTTCCCCTGAGCACTGGCGGTTGACTGTGACTCTGGGTCTTGTGCGTGTCTAGATAATCCAGGCGCACGGAGGTGCCGTGGACCCCACGTTCTCGAGCCGCTGCACACACCTGCTCTGTGAGAGTCAAGTGAGCGGGCTGTTCGCACAGGTGAGTGGGGGCTCAGCTGCGATGGAACCGAGTCTGTCCCTTTCTCTGGACAGTGTTAGCGTTCTAAGTGACTAGTGATGATCGTGTTTGGGAAGGACTTTTTTCTACCTCTAGAAAGTTGCTTCTTACTAATTCTTCTCGATCTTTGGTGGGATAGATAGATAGGTCTGTGGCCACCAGGCCTTTCTGTCTGTGAGGAATGGAGAAGGGGACATCCCAGGTGGCGCTAGGGGAGGGTAGACGGCCTTCCGCTCCAGTCCAGGGCCACACTGAATGAAGAGCGGCCGGAAGCGGGATTTCTTAACCGTTGGGGGATTCGTATGCAGGCCTGACCCGGTCAGTGCTCCGAGCTTCTGTCCTGCAGAGCAGACGCTTCCTCCTCAGTATTACCCGCTCTCATCCCCTGAAGGTTCATTTCTTCTCTTTTCTTAAAAGTGTTATTTGTAGACAGACAGGTGTCAGTGTGTGTGACACACGGCCTCTGAGGAACCCCTGTTACAGAGTAGGTAGTGGTGCCTGTGGGGAGGTGCTCTGTGCTTGCTTTTAGGTGAGCAGTTGTTCTTCCGTGACTTGTGTGCGGGGCCCTCTGTGTTCTCGTGGGGCGGTTTTAATTTTGGTGGTCAGCAATGTCATCTCCTTCCGTGACCGAAGTCATTTCCAGGTTGTCAGGCGTGTAGCTCTTCTCCCCGAGGTCGGCTCTCGTTCTTGGGGGGCCGGCAGTGCTTTCGGGGTGTGTTAAAGTTAACCGGCGGCACGTTGCAGTTCATGACTTCAGTAAGTTGAGTGCTAAGCTCGTGAAATTCCTTTATTTATAGGACTCCCGTTAAAGGTGGCCTTGTTAGCTGTCCAGCCTTACAGTCTGTGTTTAGCCGGCAGTGAAAGCCCCCGAGACCAGCCCGTGCTCTTGCGTTTGCAGGCGGTGAAGGAGCGGAAGAGGTGCGTCACGGCGCACTGGCTGAACGCGGTGCTGAAGAGGAAGCGGCTCGTGCCGCCCCATCGGGCCCTGCACTTCCCCGTGGCCTTCCCGCCCGGGGGCAGGCCGTGCTCCCAGCACGTAAGGCGCACCCCTCCTCTGCCCCCGTGTGCTGCGCGGGCTGCGAACGGCCCGCTGGCTGGTGCCGAGCGCGACAGGCATCTTATTTCCTTCTGTTCTCCTGTAACAGTCGCGGCTTCCTGCACGGAGTCGCTGTTTCACTGACTCTCCTAAGTCTTTGACACCGTTTCATAAATTCCTGAAATAAAGCAAGCTACCTAACACCAGAAGTGGCTGCTGTTGGCCAGATGTTATCACTTGCAGGTCATCCCACTCAGCTGAGCTCAAAATTGGGATCAGTAAGAAGAACTGATACTAATATTTATATGCTTAATAGAATAGCTTCATCAAGATTGTCTGAATGGTGTCATAGTAACACAAAAATGGTTTTCCCGGACTTGGTATGTTTGTTTTCCATCCTCTTGCTGGCTGTGTGGGTAACATTTTCACCATTAACAAAGTTCTGGTTTTGACATTCTTAGAGATGATGTCACTAGATGCCTCTCGTGATGCCAAAGAGGGAACGGAAACACACGTGTCTATAAAACAACTAAAATGTAGAAGAAAGAGGTTTATTAACTGGGTTAAACTGTCGTTATATTTTGGCCTTTTTACTTTTGCTCTTTTTCCTTAGATTATTTCTGTGACTGGATTTGTTGACAGCGACAGGGATGACCTGAAGTTAATGGCTTACTTGGCAGGTGCCAAGTACACGGGCTATCTCTGCCGCAGCAACACAGTTCTCATCTGTAAAGAGTAAGCACGGTTCTGAAGCCATACTTAACCTTCAGTTTATACACGCTGTAGTGGCTGTTTCAGCAATTGTATTTCTTAATATATCATAGTTCTGTGGCGGAAATTAGGGTGTGAAAATCAAAGTCTGTTAACAGGATAGCAACGATATTTATGATAATGCTAGCAGAAGAATGAAATTAGATCAATTAATGAGATGCCGTTTAGCCCAGGTAACAGCAGTAAGGTAAGGTAAAGGTAGGCCTGGCGATGATCTCGTGACCCATGCGTGTGACCAGCCAGGGTCGCGTCTACAGAAACATCCCTGCCATTTCTAGTGTGAGGAAATGTGGACTGGCTTTGTTGAATATAAATATAAATTTGAACACAGAACTCTAACATTTAATAAATGTGTTTTCTCTTCCAAAAAAAAAGACCAACTGGTTTAAAGTACGAGAAAGCCAAAGAGTGGAGGATCCCGTGCGTGAACGCCCAGTGGCTGGGAGACATCCTCCTGGGGAACCTGGAGGCCCTGCGGCAGATTCAGTACGGCCGCTACACCACCTTCAGTCTGCAGGACCCCTTCGCCCCGGCTCCGCACTTGGTTTCAAACCTTCTGGGTAAGCGGGGCCGGTTCCACGTTGCCGCCAGCTTGCGTACTAAGCACCACCGGTCTCGGCTTTGGCCCTCTCATCGTTCTGATTTCATATCCCGTTTCCTCGCCACACTGTCTTCCTCTGCAGTCTGCCCAGGAGTTTTTGTTGCTGTGTGTTTTGGTTTGCTTTTTCTAAATAGACTCTCAGAGGTAGAAGGAATGTCCAGAAGCCTGCTGACCTTGTCTCAAGCCGGCTCTGGTCTGTCCAAGGCACCCCGTGAGCCGTAGCCCACCTCCCCTTCAGCTGCACAAAACTCGTGGAAGGATCACTACCCCGACCGTACACACTACAGCACTTAACGTTACTGCATTTACTGAACTGAACGTTACTCCAGAAAACGGGCGTTCAATTCAAACGCTGCTTTAATGTGCTGTTTCTCAAAGGAGCCTGTTCCAGTTTGAACGGCTTCAGTCACAAGAAAGCTCGTCTTCATTTTGAGCTGTGGTCTGCTTGCTTCCCTGTGACGCACCTGCTGGCGTGACGTCACCTCATCCTCAGTGGACGTGCACCCTCGGTGCTCAGCACGGTCGCCGCCCGGCGTGCTGTGGTCCTTGGTGTCAGCCCCCTCGTCGCAGTCGGTTTCTTAGAAGCCAGACTGTGTGGCTCCCGGAATTGGCCAGGGGGACAGCACACGCGGGGCGGGCAGCCTCTGCTGTGCTGCGTGCTCCTGCTTTGCTCAGGGCTGCCTCACACGCAAAACTAGGCCCCTGCGGGCTCTCCTGGGAGCCGCCGCCCCTCACTGTGCAGCCGCTTAGTAACAGTCCTCACATTTTCCCCTTATTAAAGGTTGTCTGGTAACAGTCCTCACATTTTCCCCTTATTAAAGGTTGTCTGCCAGGCCACCGTGTGTCCAGGATTACCTGCTCCTGAAAGGGCTTTTTGTGTTTTTGTTGTTGATGATACACTTCCTTTTTTTTTTTTAATTGGAGGATAGTTGATTTACAGTGTTGTGTAAGTTTCAGGTGTACAGCAAAGTGAATCAGTTTTACATACATGTGTATCTGTTCTTTTTTTTTTTACGATTCTTTTCCCATGTAGGTCATTACAGAGCATTGAGTAGAGTTCCCTGTGCTCTACAGCAGGTCCTTGTTAGTTATCTGTTCCATGTATAGTAGTGTGTGTATGTGTCATGAAAAGGCTTTTGTAACACGGCTTATTTATTTACACAGTATATCTGAAAAGTAACCCGTTTCTCTCTTTAGATGCTTGGAGAGTTCCATTGAAAGTGTCAGCAGAGTTGCTGATGGTATGTCAAGCTAATAACCTTACTTTGGCTGTTACTGTGTATTATGCACATGCAGGAAGGATACATTTGTATTTGTGAATTAAGAATTCTTTTAGTAGTTTGTCACCATAACAGATGAGGGCTCTATCTTCTCGCCTGTTGTAGCTGTTTAGTATACCCTGCATCTTTTTTTTCTTAATTGATGATATTGTCAGTTATTCACATTTATACACGTTAGGAACATTATCACTTCAAAGAGCTATACGATTGCTTAAAGAATCGGAGAGCTGAGTAAGTAAGACGACGTGTTTCCATAGGGTCAGGGAGGCAAGAGCTGAGGCGTTAGTGCAGTAGCCCTGGACCCACAGCTCACTCTGCAGGAGCCCAGACCTCACCGTGATGGGACCGTTCCCGCATGTCCCAGGTGGGGTTCCAGCCCGCTGGCTGAGCTCTGATAGGGGTACCTTCAGGAGGGACCGTTCTGGACCTGAAGGCCAGCAGTCGTTTGTTACGAAACAAGTGAGGGGGGGCGGCCATCTGCACTCTCATCTCAGATTGAGAGGTCATTGCTTCAAGTAGTAAAACAGAAAGTGTATTTGTGGACGAAGGTCTGCAGAGAGGTGAGGCAAGGGTGAAGGCTGACTGGGGGGTTCCTCCAGGGGCACCGGCCTCCCCCTGCCCCTCCCCCTCGACTCAGCATGTCCGCAGGTCAGGGGCTCCAGCTGGTTCCAGGAACGTGGGCGCCCCGCGCCTGGGGACCAGAGCGGCCTTCAGCACCTTGCCCCGCCCTCCAGAGCGCTGTGACCTGATCGTCCCGAACCCTCGTGGGTGACATCTCAGTGCAGGAAGAGTCTCTTTTTGGGCCTGTAGTTGCAATGAGTATGTTTTCCAAATTCCAAACTGAGACACAAGACAAAATATTTGAAGTGAAAAGTGTTCTGAAAAGTTCAAGGTTGAGGATTAAATCCGTAACATGAACAGAGAGAGGGGTGAAGACGTTTTAAAGAACTGCTGGGTCTGGTGAATAAAGAGGGCGCCAGCCCAGGGCTTCCCTGGAAGGCTCGCGTGTGTCTGTCTCTCGGCTGGTGAGGCGTGGTGGTGGGTGCGTGCGTCTGGTACGCAGTGGGGTAGGTGGAAAGCTCTCGGAACCTACTGTATTACTGGGGAGACTAAAGTAAATCATATTTTAATCACAGGGTGTACGACTACCTCCCAAACTGAAGCAGAATGAAGCAACTAATATCCAGCCCTCTTCCAAAAGAGCCAGGTATGAAGAATCGCCTTTTTTTTTTTTTTTAATGGTTGATGAGCTTTTACAGGTTTGTTTTAGAAAGTGGTGGCAGTTGGGAAAGTTACTGAAATGTTCACAGTGAATAGGATTTGGAAGGATTTGCTGATTGCGTCACAGCTTTATCGTGGCACGTCTCATTTCATTGCTGGAGATAAACAGGGAACAGTGTTTTCTCCTCTCATTAAAAAAACAGTTGAATCTTCTTCAACCAGAACCGCGCCAGAACTCCCGGTGTGTAAAACATGAGCTGCTGTGGTGGGACGGGGGTGCGGGACTGGAACCCGCTCCAGGCGTCCTCGGTGTGGGCCCGGGAGCCTGCGTCCCGACTCCTGACCCGGCGGGTCGGCAGGGGGTGGCTGTGTGCAGACCTGCGCTGGTCTCACCTGGTAAAGAGAAGCCGGCGGTTCCGTTAGAACCCGGAGGCCCTCCAGGCCGTGCTCAGCGAGGGGCTTCCTCTCTTCCCTGCCCCTCAGCTCTCCCTCCTGCCATTCCCCATACCATACGATCTGGGAATGATTGGGTTTTTTAGTGGAAGCCTAATCATGTGATTATATATGTCATTAAAATGCCACAAAGAAATTTTTCTTAATTGAATAGACTGTCTCAAATATAAGCTAAAAATAGGATCTGAGAAAACTTAAGGAAGGAAATGAAAAAGACTGAGGTTTAATTTAAAATGTGTGCTCGAGTCAAACAGCTTTGTTCTGTGCCTTCTGGGTGGAGACGGGGCAGGTGGAAGACACAGGACCGGAGCCTCGGCCGGGGGGCCTCCCGCTCTTCAGGACCAGCAAGGCCAGTGAGGGCGGGGGTGGGGCTGATGATGAAGTGGAGCGTTGACTGGCTGCTTCCCTTGGAGGTGCCACACGGAGGCCTTTTGGGGGTGCCTGTGTGTGAATGGTGGGAAAGAAAAAAAGAGCAGGTAAGTCACTGTATTTTCCCTTTAAGGAAAGAACACCACACACGCTTAAAGCTTGTTAAAGCTATTAAAATCCCTTGTTTGCTAAGGAACATTTTTAAGTAAATAACAGGCGGTCTTTTCTATGTGTATTTTACAGAATTGAAGATCTACCACCTCCCACTAAGAAGTTAACACCAGAATTGACCCCTTTTGTGCTTTTCACTGGATTTGAGCCTGTTCAAGTTCAACAGTACATTAAGGTGAAATTTTAAATCTATTTAAGGATTTTTAGGAATGTTCCTTTCTGTTTATATTTGCTTGAGGCCAGCAGTCTAATTAAACTAACATTTAATCAGGAATATCCTATTATAAGTGTTTATAGTATGTATCTATAAACTTCGTGTCATCATTACCTCATCGTTGGCTTCCCGCCTCGTTCTTGCTGCTGCTTCACACTTAGATACTCGCTTTCTTATTAGAAAAACGATTTAGGTGAGTAGACCGAGACCCATTTCTATAATCGTGAACATTATTAGCAAGCCCACTCGGACATCATCTTCATAAAGACAGTAGCTGAAAAGAGTAGCTGTGTCCCTTCAGGTTTTCTGATGGAATCCACAGTCTTTCAAGACTTGTTTTCTTGGGTAGGAGGGTAGGCCCAAGGGCAGTGATGTATTCGTGTATTTAGATAAGTAAGCTTCTTGGAAGTAACACCAGGAGGGATTACGGGATTTTGTTTTGTTATTTTGGGGACAGGGGAGGGTGATGGTTAAGAGTATGAGTTGACCTGTATTACATGGATTCATACGTTTTACTTTTTTTTTTTTTTTTTTAAGGAAAAAAAACAATTACAAATGCTACTATACATTTAGTATATTTTCTTTACTTTTAAAATTGAGTATAGTTAAAGAGATCATCTTTTATATGTTTATGTCTTCTCAGTCAATTCTTAGGTCATCATTTCTTAAAATACAGACAGTACTTTAACGTGCCTCAATAACACTCATTTCAGCTTAGAAAGCCTGGGCAGATTTGCTCCTTATGAAACGAGCTGCGTTGTTTTCAGAATTTTACTTATTTATAGGGATGTCTTATTTAATCCTGATCTGCACAGCATTGGTTAGGGAAATGTACATTGTCAATCGTAGTTTCCACTTTCCTCCTACAACGGCGTGGGTTTGGTTTTACCAGTTGCACCATTTTCCGTGGCCGAGGACTCTGTTCGTAGTCTTAGACGCGTCCCAGGCCGTGTGCGGCTCTGTAGGCCTAGCTCTCACCTCTGGTCTGTGTTCGTGACCCCCAGAAGCTCTACATTCTTGGTGGGGAGGTCGCTGAGTCTGCGCAGAAGTGCACCCACCTCATCTCCAGCAAGGTGACGCGCACCGTGAAGTTCCTGACGGCCGTCTCCGTGGTGAAGCACATCGTGACTCCGGAGTGGCTGGAGGAGTGTTTCAGGTGTCAGGAGTTCATTGGTGAGTAGCAGCGTCTGTGCCTCAGTGAACTTATCACTTCAAGAAAGAGCCCTTTTAATCTGGCATTATCTCCATTTTCATCCCAGCAAGCATCTAGTTCATTCGTTAACTCTTTGCTATTTGTCATGTAAATTCATAAGCTTGTTCCATGTTCCAGTCATTTGATCGATATCTTTGCATTTTACCCTGAAATATAGAGGTTTTGGTCATTTGGAAGGTGTTGGGGGTGGGGATAAGCTCTGCATCCCTGCCATGTCGGTTCCTGATGTGAGTGTATCTTGTTTGGAAATATGCTGGCTGTTGGATGAGATTCCACATGCAGTACAGCGCACGGCAGGGAGCCCGGCAACGTCCTGGGAACGTCGGGGCAGATGGGAGGGTCAGCACGTCCCTCCCTTGCCCGTCTCCCACCATCCAGGGCACTGAAAGTGAAATCCTGTTACTGGCAGTGACACTTAGAGATAGGTTTTTTCTTAGTCAGTACACCCAAGTATCTTTAGAGCCTTGCTAATCAGCACAGAGCGAGTATGATTCCAAGTGACTTTTCTCCACGGAATAGATTTGCAGCTTCGTCTCATGTGTGTTTTCCTCTGTGAGGGCACATCACAGCCCATTGCCCTCAGGGCACTGGACAGCACTGTGCTTACAGGCCGATTAAACAACAAAAATCACTGAGAAAAGCACAAAAATGTGAAGAGAGTAGCACTAAATGGACCACGGAAGGACGCTTGTTCTCAGAATGAGCTGAACCAGGGCGAGCACCGCCGTGTCGGCCCCAGCAGGAAGCGCCACGTGGGCAGCTCTGCCACGTCCACAGAGAACTGGAAAGCACCACAGACGCTGTTTTAGTGGGCATATTCACAAACACGAAATCCACAAATAGCGAGGATCAACTATGTTATGTAGTGTTTAGAAATTTTCAGTTGAGATTTTAGAAATTTTTTTCTTAAAAGATACTAGTGAAATGTAAAACCTAACAATGCAGGCAGAAGAAGAAAAACGTAGAAACAATACCATAAACGTAGATTAGCTCTCAATTCTGTATGAGAGTTATAAAGTTCAGCATGAGGGAGTCTGTTCTTTAATTGAAATTTGAGTTGCTTAATTATCAAGCTTACCAGTCTGCGAAAACAAATATTTTTTATCTGTTTATGAAAGTTATAACAATTCATATTTGATGGGCAGTTTTAGCTGCCTTTCCTTTCTTCATGGCCTTATTAATGTTTGCTGTGTTGACTTCTGAGGGTTTATAACGTGGTTCTGGTCTTATTATAAACAATTTAATATTCAATATTGAATACTCAAACACATTTCTTCACATTTGATCCCTTTTAACTTTTCCAGGTTGTCATATAGTTGGAATTACACGGATGCAGCCTTTTCATGTTGGCTTCTTAGTCACATGCATTTTATGTTTTCCTCTGTGTCTTCTTAGCTCATTTCTTTTTAGCACCAAAGACTACCCACTGTCTGGATGGACCTCAGTTTATTTATCCACTCACCTACTGAAGGGCATCTTGGTTGCTTCCAAGTTTTGGCAATTACAAGTAAAGCTGTGTTCTGTGTGCAGCTTTTGTGTGGATGTAAGTTTTCAACTCGTTTGACTAAGTACCAAGCAGTGCCATTGCTGAATCATATGAGAGTAGGTTTAGTTTTGTAAGAAACCATCAAACCGTCTCCCAAAGCGCTGGTACCAGTTTGCGTTCCATCAGCAGACTTCCTGTTGCCCCACATCCTTGCCGGCGTTCGGTGTTGTCAGTTTCTGACCGTTTTAACAGTTGTGTGGTGGTACCTCATTTTTGTTTTAATTTGCATTTCCCTGATGACATACCATGTTAAGCGTCTTCTCATGTGTTTATTTGCTATCTGTATATCTTCTGTGGTCGTGCATCTGTTCAGATCTTTTGTCCATTTTCTAACTGGCTTCTCTTATTGAGTTTTGAGAGTTCTTTGTACATTTTGGGTAACAGTCCTTTATCAGATGCATCTTTTGCGAATATTTTCTCGCAGTCTCTTAACGTTGTCTTTGACAGAGTGGAAGTGTTCGATTTTAATGAAGTCCAGGTTGTCGGTTATTTCTTCCGTGGATCATGCCTTTGGTTTTGTATCTAGTCATTGCTGTACCCAAAGCCATCTTGGTTTTCTCCTGTTACGTTTTTAGGAGTTGTAGTTTTGTGTTTTACATTTAGATCTGTGATCTCTTTTCAGTTACTTTTTGTGAAGGTGTATGGTCTGTGTCTAGATTCAGTGTGTGTGTCTGTGGACATCCCCTTGTCCCCTTGCGCTCGCTGCCTGTGCTCATAGGCAGAGTGGGGGTCTGCACTGAGCTCTCGCTGTGTCCGTCCATCTGCCCTTTCACCCAGAGCTTTACAGTGAGTCTGGAAGTCGGGTCCTCAGTCTTCCAGCTTTGCTCTTCTTGAGTTGGCTGTGTCTTTTGTGTTGTCATATAAACTTTAAAATCATTTAGCTGATATCTGCTAGGCATTTACTTTTTTTTTTTTTTTTTTTTTTTTTTTTTGGCGGTACGCGGGCCTCTCACTGTTGTGGCCTCTCCCGTTGCGGAGCACAGGCTCCGGACGCGCAGGCTCAGCGGCCATGGCTCACGGGCCCAGCCGCTCCGCGGCATGTGGGATCTTCCCGGACCGGGGCACGAACCCGTGTCCCCTGCATCGGCAGGCAGACTCTCAACCACTGTGCCACCAGGGAAGCCCCTGGTCTGTATTAAAAGTCATTTACTTTTAATACAGACTTGAGACGTTTTGTTTTGCCAAAAGTTTACATTTTGAGGTTCCTGAAATTTCTCAAGAAGGATACATCCTAACCCTAGGTTATTAGTTCTGGCAGTTAGTATCTGAAATTCTGCATTCTGATTCATTTCTTACTTTTTTCCATCTTTTAACGTTTTATGGATATTTGTAAAACCAATTTGGCTTTTGAATTAAAAAAAATTTTTTGAAACGATCAATCACCCAGTTGCCTATAGAGTACAGACATAGCTTCTTTTTTTCTGAGCCATCAGAGAGTCCGTTGCCCAAATAATGCTGTGTTATCCCCAACACCTCAATGCGTGTTTCCTACAGACAGACAAGGACGTTCTCGTAGGTGGCGCGACACGGCCACAGTCAGGAAATCAACATCGATCCGTCGCTGCTGCCTCATCCCCATTCAGATCTGCCCGTTGTCTCAGCATCACCCCTCAGAGCAGAAGGACCTAGTTCTGAATCACACGTTGCGTGTAGTCTCCTTGAGTCTGGGAAGGGCCCCTTGGTCTGTTCTTGTCACTTGAAGATGTCTGGTCAGTTAGGTCTGCCGTCTGGTGTGTGTGCTGTCTCCTCCCGAGGGAGGTGGGCAGGTGGCGTCTGTGGCGGGACCACCACACGGCTGCGGTCTCCCCCACCTCGCATCCTGCCAGGGGCTGCACAGTGCAGGGTTGTCGTCCTGCGGGTGATTTCACGGTGGTCCCTCGACGCAGGTGCAAGCCGGCCAGGCTTCTTGACGAGTCATTTATGGGAAGCACTTTGAAACTTTGCAGATACTGCTGTTCCCTGTCAGACTTTCGATTTATTCCCTTATTTCCCCACGCGCGCTCCTTTCTGTCTCCTGGTTACCGTCTTGTCGTCCTCACATCGTCCCCACTGTGACCAGGGATTGCCGCTCAGGCTGGCTTCCGTGTCCTGTCCACCTCTCCTGTCGGGTTGACCACGTGGTAGCTTTTGGCAAAACAAGAATGTTCTGGGCTCATCTTATGCGTCTCTGCCCTGGTTCCGCACCAGCGTTTTCCCAAGGATCCCCGAGTCCTTTCAGAGTAAACCTCGGGGCGGACGGACGGCGCTCGTGGCCCTGGGGTGTTGCTCCTGAACCCTTTTCCCACTTCCTGTGTCTGTCCGATGCCAGTCTGCCACCACGGGGTTCGTCCTTGTTTCCTCCCTCCCTTTGTCTGTAATCCTTTCTCCAACAACAGTGAGAAGCCCGGCTTCCAGTGTCCTAATGAACTTGTTAACTTACTTGCTAAGCTGCACTGTGTGTGGTCAGCAGCACGTGGACTGCCGCTGCCCCTGCAGTGCAGCCCCTCTCACTGGGCTCCGACGCCCTCGGGCCTGACAGCTTTAAAACGGGATTGTTCATGATGTGGTAGGGGATAATTTTGGAATTTTGTATTTAATTTATAAAATTGGTGTCTCAAACTGTATAATCTCTTTCTGGAAGATGCATGTCCTTTGTGCTGCTGTGAAAAGTTTAACTTTCTACGGATGCTTAGCAAGTTAATGTAACTCTGCTGCTGCTTTTAGAAAACCAAAATGTCAGCATCTCCTCTGGGACAGGATTGTTTTGGCTACTTGGTTATATTTTAGGGTCATAGTCTCTTATCATAAATATTAAGTATTTCTTGGCACTCCCTCATGGCTTTCCAGAAGGCGTGTCAACCTTGATTTTGCCGCGTGGACACTTACATTTGAAATGTAGCACTTCAGGGACTTCCCTGGTGGGCCAGCGGTTAAGACGCCGTGCTCCCAATGCAGGGGGCCCAGGTGCGATCCCTGGTCGGGGAACTAGATCCCTAAAAAAAATAAATAAATGAAAGATCCCGCATGCTGCAACTCAGACCTGGCACACCCTAAATGAATAAATATTTAAAACAAAACAAATATATCACTTCATGCATGACTGACAGTACATTTCTGTGCATTTTTTTAATTCATCATTTTTTTTTTAGAAATTATCGTCTTCCACCTAAACCCGTATAGTGCCTTATCCATCTGCTGATGGCTGATCCATTTTGTTAAATTTCAGCGTTTCGTTAGTGACGTGCTTGCTCTTAGCCCAGTGGTCCTTGAGCTCAGAATGGCTTTTACGTTTTTAAGGCATTGTTTCAAAAACAGAAGGGCATGTCTCAAAAGTATGTGGCCTGCAACGTGTGTCATCCGACTGACCCTGACCCTAGACTCTCCCTGCTTTGCGCTGTGTTACAGTTTGGTTATTATGATTTTCTGAACGAGATGTAGTTCATAAGAAGATTAAAATATCTTGTGATCTTTACCTTTTGACAAATTAGATGTTTCTTAATTAAAAATGCTTAAATCTTCAAAATTTGGTAAAACCATTCTTTATAAATTGCTGTACATATTCATAGATTTAAAAGGAACGTGCTTTTGGTAAATCTCAGCTAATTGAGTCTAATGGCTCTGGAGTCACTGTGGTCCCTATACACACACAACACACACCACACACACATGACACGATGACAGTTCGCGGCTCTCCCTCCGGGACTGGAGCTCTTCCCCTGGGCCTGTGGGCGCCCTGGGACCGTGTGAGATTACAGCTGAGGGATGTAGAGGGGCCAGAGCTCTCAGTCCAGTTTTTTCCAAATGCTGAGAAACACTGACCGAGGAGGGACAGTGTCTTTGGCCTGGCTGTTTTCAGGAGAAAAGTAACCGACAAGTGTAACAGGTGAGGCTTTTGTTCACAGGTAAACGTGAGCCGTGGATCACACGCACCTGACTGGGGGCAGCCTGGAGCGGGTGGCACAGTGCGCCCCGGGCGCCGTGCACTGTTGGACAGTGTGCTGTTCTCTTTTCCAGACGAGCAGAGCTACGTTCTCCGAGACGCCGAGGCCGAGGTGCTTTTCTCCTTCAGTCTGGAGGAGTCCCTGAGGAGGGCACGCGTGTCTCCGCTCTTTAAGGTACGCTTGGGAGGGAAGTCACCCCCGACGCTACAGCTGTGGGCAACCGCGAGGGCCTCCGGGGAGCCGGCCCCCACCACCGTCCCCACTGCATGGGCGGTCCTCCTCGGGCAGGGTGTTTCTGGGGATCTTCGGCACCTGCAGAGTCCTGCTGTTTACCATAGCTAAGGGAATCCATACAAAGTTAAATAAACAGAGAGGTGCATTACAGATACCCGGTTCTGTAAAGAGTTATGTGTATGAATAGGTAGGAGACATTTAAATTGAATTTTTTGCTTTTAACAACTTCCATTACTTACTGCTATTCTCACTAAATGTATATACTCAGCTAGAGAATGGAGACCATCCTTGGGAACACATTAATTGAATCTGTGCCTAATAATTCTGGACTAGAATATTTAAATATTTGTTAGATAAGATAGAACACCCTGGAAAATTTGACAGTTGTCAAACAGTGGCTCAGTAACTTAATAATCATTTTTTTACCCTTCAGGAGCCAATTTAGGAATCAGAAATGATTTGCAATACTGAGTTAAGAGTATTCTACCTAAGATAGTCTGATTTTTCTAAATATTTGAGGAGTTTAAAACAAAGTAGTATTTTTGGTACACTTGTGTTAGAAAACTTTAACCAGCAAAATAATTTCCTATTCTGTTTGAGCTTTACAGTTTAGAATTTTATAGAAATTGAGAATATCGCAGAGCACTTCATGTCTTTTAGGAATATAAGTTCTAGTTGCTGTTAATAAGGAAAGTGCTGAATTGACACACCTGGATTCCCCCAGGCCCACTTCAGACTGGGGACAAGCCGGGGCTAGTACATGTATCCCCATGAAATTAGACATTTTGTCAAAAATCTCAGGATAGAGTGAGAAATTAATGTACCCTAAAAATCCCATTTAAAAAACAATACATATTTTCATTTTATTTTTAGGCGAAATATTTTTACATCACTCCTGGAATCTGCCCGAGTCTTTCAACTATGAAAGCGATTGTGGAATGTGCAGGAGGGAAAGTACTGTCTAAACAACCGTCTTTCCGGAAACTCATGGAACATACGCAAAATAAGGTGGACAGAAGCAAAATACGCTATTGAATTCATCATTGTCGTGTACAAGAGCCATTGTTTAGTAACCAATAATTTTCTTTTCATTAGAGTTTGTCAGAAATAATTTTAATATCCTGTGAAAATGACCTTCACTTGTGTCGAGAATATTTTGCCAGAGGAATAGGTATGGTGTATTCCTCTTGCTCTGTATTAAGAGTGTGTAGGTGCACACACAGCAGTGCATTTATTTAACAGCTTTTGTTTTCATTCCTTTCAGATGTTCATAATGCAGAGTTTGTTCTAACTGGAGTGCTCACACAAACACTGGACTATGAATCATATCCTTTTGAAAGATGTGTGGTGCAGAAACCCTCTCAGCACTAATATCTGAGCTGTGTGTGTTCCGTATCTCCACGAATTAGGAAATCTTTGGTGATAAAAATGATAAAAGACCCCTTACATTTTTGGAGATTTTGTTTCTATACAGTATGGGCTCTTACATCTCTCCAGGTTTTTTTCCCTACCTTTGGGTGATTGATTGGTGGGTGTCATCTCGTGTCATCTCAGGGCCCCTTTTCTTGCGTCTGTAGCCTGAAAGGAGCCTGAGTCAGGCTCCTGCCCCAGGACGGTTGGAGCCCCGGGTGGATGGTTCAGAGTCGCAGGGGCTGGCGAGGGCCTGGGCGCCCGAAGCTCACCACCTCAGTGTGCGGCCTGTATTGGATGCCGTCACTAGTTTGCATGGTGTTTGTTTGCCAGTTGTTTTCCTCAACGAGCTTACATATAAATTTAACTGACGCACCTGTGCTGGTGACTGGAGCCCGGCGCACGGGTCTGGCTGTGTCAGCTGCTGGATGGAGTGGCCCCTGTGCCCTTGAGATGCCCTTGTTTTCCAGCTGCTTTCTTTGGGGACAAGCATTTTAAAGCAGGAAGACAAATATATTAAATATACTGCATCTTATTAAGATGTGCAATTTTATTCTGAGGAAACATAAATTATGTTTTGTATTATATGACTTTAAGAGCCCACGTTAGGTTTTATGATTCATTTGCCGGGTTTTTAAATGTTTTCACAACACTGTTAATGGAACTTTAGCTGCAAATAAAATGGTGTAAATAAAGACCTTGCTATCTCTAAATTATGGATGTTAAAGATTTGAAATGTTTTGTACTCTTATTTCTTACACTCTTTTCTTTTATATTGATATCTTGCCCACGTTTTAAATAAATGTACTTTTGAACTTAGAATTGAGTGGTCCTTTGTTTTACACATTTTTTTGTATGATTGATTGATTGATTGATTGATTTGCATTAAACTGGATCACATTTTAAGTAATTTGCAGGCAAAATATTTCCTAGTAAATTTTCTCCTGAAGAAATAATTTCTGGAATGTAGCCATTTTCTGTCAAGGTAATAAATAAATTCCTGGGCAGAGGCATATTCAGAATATTTAGCAATTACTACAAACAGGCGGGCACCAACCAGCCAGAATCGTTAATACCACAAAAACCCATATATATGTATCCCGCTTCTATTCCAGGTATGGTTCTAATACACGTCCTGTTGGGTTGTAGGTACAGAAGCATACAAGAGACTACCACCTTATCAGTAATTACTAACATGAATATATAATATACTACATTTATTAATACATTCAAGAACGATACTGTCACAGAGAGGTTCAGCACTGCCCTCACATAACTGCTCGTCAGGTGTGTTCCTGAAACACTGGATTTGCCTCCATAGCAATGTCCGAGATGTCTTCCTAGAAGGAGTTGTGATCTACTCCCAAGTCTACTCGCCAGTTGCACAGCCTCTACAGTTTAATTCTTAAACACAGTTTAAGTGGAGCACGTGTATTAAGGACGTGAACTCCCCATCCCAGGAATTCTCAGCATTCCCGCAAGGCTCTGACATTGGTTATACACATTGAAGACATCGTTACCTCAGGTGTCCTCCCAACTCATGGTGGAACCACATGGAGTCACTCCTACCAATGGGAAGGAAATCGCCCACGACTTCACGATTTTAAAGTGAGGCTCAAGACCTTCAACCTTACCTGTGCCGTCTCAAAAGCCTTGACCTGTGGCAACTTCCCAGTGACCCAGCCGCTGCCGTCTGGGTACACCTTCACTCTCTCTCAGCACGAGTGACTGATAACGCTGATTGTCTACTGGAAACATCATCTGTTGAGCTCCTTAAAATACACCCGAACAGCAGTTTTGTTCAGATGTACCACATGCTGGCACTTGTATTTTTACAAACTGTATCTCAAACTGTGTGTACATTTTAGCTCATACTTTTGTACCTAAGCAAACTTAGGGATGCTTACCTGTAGAACTGACCTTTTCTCCACGTACAACAGGTGGAATGAGGGTTGATGTGAAATAATTTCGAATCTGTAAAATCCCAGAAGTACGGAAGGGTTTCATAAGTTGGAACAAAATCTTGATCGCAAGATCTTGATCGTATTCAGCATACGGCCCTCCTTCTTACACCCTTGAAGAAAAGTGAAGATAATGATAGAATAAGGGCCTTCTGGGTAGAGTATATGCATCTGTTCAGTCTTCAGTGGAGGCGGGGTTTGTTTAACCAACATGCAAGTATGACTGACTTGATTAACCTTTCAATGAGTTTTTTTCAAAAGCTGCCAAGAATAATCCTTAAAAACTCCAGGAGCTGTCTGCAGCCAACTGGTTTGCACAGCTGCTAAGCAGTGATTTGGTGGCTCAGAGGAAGTTACATGTGAACATTTAAGAATAAAGTAAATCAACTTCTTAGAGAAGTTGATTAGGTTAGAAAATTATTTCTCCTAGGAAAAAAAGTCTTTCACTTAGTCCTGTTGTTTTCGTCTGGCTCAAGGTTTTCTAATAGAAATGCAAACCACATACGTAATTTTAAAGTTTCTGGCAGCCACAGTAAAAAAGCTTTTAGATTTAGTTTCTAAAATTTTATTTAATATATCTAAAATATTGTTTCATTTACAAGTAATATTTTTAATTGAGTTTTACTCCTCTTTTTTCTTTTTTTATATTTCATACCACTTACAGTTTAAAAAGATATATATACCCAAGTTATTCTAAGGGTAAGGTGTTTTCCAGTGAGTTAGTGCCAACTTTTTAAAATTAATTTTTATTGGAGTGTAGTTGATTTACAGTGTCGTGTTAGTTCCTGCTGTAGAGCAAAGTGAATCAGTTATATACACATAGGTCCACTCTTTTTTAGATTCTTTTCCCATATAGGTCATTACAGAGTACTGAACAGAGTTCTCTGTGCCGTACAGTAGGTTCTTATTATCTATTTTATATATAGTAGTGTGTGTATGTCAATCCCAATCTCCCAATTTATCCCTCCCCCACCGGTGTTAATTTTAAGTTAAAATTCACAAAACTGAGATGGACAGCTCAGCTCCTCACTCGCGCCAGGCACGTTTCCAGTGCTTGGTGAGGAGTGTGACCCGTCTGTATCCCGTCTCACTTTGCAAATAAGGGTGGAAGAAATGTGAACGCCACTGAAGACAACATACATGCTGCATCCAAATAAGCTCAGGATCGTGTCTCTGTGCAGACAAAAGCACAGGACTTTGAATCAAGAATCAAGATGGTGGAATAGAAAGACATGGAGCTCGCCCCCTCCCACAAATACATCACAAGTACACCTACACGTGGAGCAGCTCTCACAGAGCACCTGCCGAGCCCTGGCAGAGAATCTCAGACACCCAGAAGTGCAAGGAAGATCTCCACGTAACCCTGTAGAATGAAGGGAAAAAAGGGAGCAGGACGGGACCCGCGGCCCTGGGAGGGAGCTGCGAAAGAGGAAAGGTTTCCGCACACTGGGAAGACACTCGCTCATGGGGAGATCAGCTGGGACAGAAAGGGGGCTTCAGAGGCTCAGAGGAGAGCGAGGCAGCCGGTGTGCGGCAGGCAGAAGAGAGAGAGAGACCGGCACAGAGGGTCTATGCTCCCTCCCTGCAGTCCCCAGCCTGAAACACACGCCTGCTGGTACGTGGGGGTTTGGGGGCTGAAACTCAGGCTTCAGAGGACAGACCAGGGGAGCGGACTGGTGTCGGCTGCACGGACACAGCCTGAAAGGGCTGGAGTGCAGTATGGGCTGCGCGGAAGCCCAACCCGCCATAGAAGCGAAGCGCCATTGTTAAGGGGCACGTGAAGGGGAAGGTGGGGCTCTCCAGAGCAGCCTCATTCTGCGTGCTCACAGCTGGCTCGCACCTCCGTTGGAACCCCATTGTTAACATGTGCGCGAAGGGAGGGCTGGGCCGCCCAGAGCGGCCTCTTTCTCCGTACTCTCAGCTGACACGGCGCTGCCTTCACCAGCTCTGGGAGCATGCGCAAGAGCCAGGGGGCTGTCTACACGCCGAGGCGGGGCTGAAATCAGAGCCCTCTCCCTGTAGCTGTACAATCCACAGATCTGTGCCACTGCCGCCAGCTTTGCAGACTCAGTGCTGGGTGGACAACGGGTGCTTCCATGGCTGCGACAGGCCTGGCCTTAGCAGCTGTGGGCTCTCTGTGGGTGCACACGTGGGGCGGGGGCGGGGCCGGGGTCTGGGCTGCTTCCGTAGCTCCCACAGCAGGTCTAGGTGTGTAACTACTGCAGTCCTGGTACCTGACTTCAGTGGACCTGCACTGGTGGTTTTGTGAACACAGTGCCTGAGGGACACCAGGGCCAACTGCCTGCATCCCCACCATGGAGGTGAGGCCGAGAGGAGTGCCAACAACAGTGCATTTTGGGAGCCCACGCAATGGGTGACAGGTGACACCAGGCAGTGTGCTCTGCACGTGGGGACTACTCCAGTGGGGCAATACTCAGTGGCTCCTCTCCCAGTGGGAGCACTCCAATCCTGCCTACCCCACACTGCAGCTTGAAAACAGATCCAGGGGCTTCTGCTCCAACAGCTGCGGAGCAGACCCTGCCCCCAACAGGGCAGTGACAACCACAGAGCAAAGAGGAGGCCCCGTTCAACAACTGGGCAGGCTCTGGTCACCACAACACCAGTTACACCCCGTTTCAGGGGGATAACGGCCAGGACACACTGAGGAAAGAGGCGGCAGGCATCCGTACCCAAAACAGCCCTCACACCAAAAATATTAAACCTATGCAAGCTACACAGGGAAACTCCCGCATAAAAATAGCCCTCCAAGACCACAGTAGATAATTGTTTCTCCTAGACTCATAGAGAAGCATAAATAAAAGGAAGAAGCAGAGGAATCGCTCCCAGTTAAAAGGTCAAGAGAATTCCCCTGAAAGAACAATGAAACAGACCTCTTCAGTCTAATAGACACCAAATTCAAAAAGGAGATAATGAAAATACTAAAGGAATTAAGAAGGGCTATTGATAGAGATGCAGATTACTGTTATCAAGGAACTAGAA